ACTGAGCTGTGAAAATCACCAACACACTCGAGGAAACTGCAGAAAGACAGAAAAACACCACTAATAGACACACACACACACACACACACACACACACACACACACACACACAGACAGACAGACAGACAGACAGACAGACAGACAGACAGACAGACAGACAGACAGACAGACAGACAGACAGACAGACAGACAGACAGACAGACAGACAGACAGACAGACAGACAGACAGACAGACAGACAGACAGACAGACAGACAGACACACACACACACACACACACACACACACACACACACACACACACACACACACACACACACACTAACTAACTACACACCAACCGGATGTTCATTCACAGATGAATGAGTCTCCAACACCTGTCAAGAGTCTTACTTCACCCTAAATTAAAACTAATATAAAACAATATAAAAAACTATTCATCTTTACTGTCATCCAGACACATTTTCTTCAAATTCTCATTAATTTTATGCTTAAGAAAGAAACTAATATACTCATATAATTGCAGCATTTAGTGGAAATGTAATCCCTGTTAGTATTTTTAGTGATGCACAATATATCGCAAAATTTAGTTATTGCGATAATAATATGTTCGATATATGTATGATAAATTACATTTACTTTATGCATTGGTTGTTTATCTATATTTGACCAATCATATGGGAATGTGCTATCTTTAGCCCCGCCTCACCAGTGGTTGCTGTTCTGCTATTGGCTAGAAAGCTGAACCCAGAGCTAAAATAAACAGTAGTGGGTGGAATCAAGATGAGAGGAAAATGACAACAGCCAATCAGACTCAGAATATCTGCGCAGGTTTTCATTCACTCGTTCTAATGACTAAATGTTTGCACCTAGACTGTAAGTCTGAATTAGAATTAATTAGATCTGAAAAATATAAATGTATTATACATTACATAAATAAAGGATTTAAAAGCCTAGCTAATAAAAAAAGCATTTTTCTAAAGAATAGTAATAAATATCCTTATCGCAATAATCAACAACAACATCGAATATAGCTTATTTCCCAGTAATAGTGTTTTTATTATAAAGAGAATTTTCACAACATTATAGATAGTCGCATATTATGCATTTTTTTAATTTTTAGACTTCACATTTCATGACTAAAGGTTTCGTACATTTTATTTGTTCACATTGCATTGCAATATTAACCCTAAAACTAGGCTTTTCCACTCAGTATTCTCATGAAATTAAATAAAACCCAATGTAATTTACAAATAAATGCAGTATTCCATAAACAAACAAAATCATGACTTTATGAGAAATATTAAACATTCATCACCAAATGCTGACACTATTTAAACGCTTCTTATGTTTATTTCTGCACTATTATTCACAATTAGGATCGTAGTGCACATCATAACAATAACCTTGATGATAACGTACACATTTCTATCTTTTTAAGGCCCTGAAAAAGAGGAAATCTAGCATTAAAGCAAGAATTCTGCAGAGCACCAGATACATAAAATAACCTATATAAATTATTTTCTCATAATATTATTAATGCAAGAAAATGTATATGTTTACAGTACATATTAGATAAGGCTCCATCTGTTAGGATGTGGCATCAAACTATTCTCGAAAACATAATCTGTACATGATCAAATGGAGTTATTCATCAAATTTGAGATATGCTTTCCTGGCATATGTTAATTCTGATGACTAATTTAATAACATTGAGATAAAGTTGGTTTGATATTCACACATTCTGCCTTTCTCCTTAATGTTGTATCTTCAGAAAATTATTTTTGCCAATTCTAAACAGGAAAATCATATTAGCAGCCAAAGACTATCCAAGAACAACATTGTTCAAGGTTAAGTAAATAGTGCTAATGTTGATCTGAAGTTGTACTTACATGTGATTTCAGACCAAATATTCAAAGTATCATGGTACACAATATAGTAAGCATGCCACTGAACGAATGTGCAAATATAAAACCAACCTTGCCTGAACTCTAATAATGTCATGGCTGGTTTTGTTGGTTGTTTTACGCTGACTGTTAAAACTGCTCAAAATTCCCCTGACTTTCTTACTGAACCATGTATGTGCACCTGTAACCCCCTGTATTGTCTTATTTTTAGTGTTTTTATTTTAATTTGTGAGCAATCCCATGCAAATGTCAACCTTGCCATGAAAAAAGTCAACAAAATATAAAACCCGTAAGTTTTTTGTGTAAGCAAGTATTTTACAGTACTTTAGAAATACTCAAAATTGTCTCTATCAATGCTTTCAAACTATTATATTTGAGTTACCAAAGTCACACAAGTGGCAATTTCACATCTGTCACATCCATAACGGAGAGACGTCACATGCATAATGGCACTTTTTCCTCATAAATGCAAAAATATTAATATAAATTGATCATTTCTGTTCTACAGAGAGCCATCTCTCATCTTTTTTTAGCATTGTTTCTTTTGAGTTGTGCAGTTTAATTCACAGAATTTCTGCAAAGTTTGTTGTAGACTGTAAACTCGCAGACTTTTTTGGTCACATCCATAACGCACGTTAATTTTCCACATTTAAAGTACAAAACATGTTTACATACTGATATTTTTCTGATCCCATAATGTGGATAGTTGTTCTGGAAAATATCAATAAAAGTTTCAATATAATATTAACATCTACTTTCTATATGAATTTATGTTTTGAGTTTTTACTGCAAACGTCACATCCATAACGCTGGAATTGCTCTAATTCATTTATTATTAACCTTTCTTGTCATATGTTGATTTAGAGAACTAATTTAAGAACGCCGTGGCTGGTTTTTGTTGGTTGTTTTACACTTACTGTTGATATCATTAATAATTTCACAGACTTGACTTGATCTCCCATGTATGTGCACCTGTAAACCGCTGTCAATTCTTGTTTTTAATTTAAATTATTCACTTATTTTTGTAGTTTTCATATCATTGTTATTTCACAAGCATGTTATTTCTTTATAAAAGTAAAAACTTAATAAAATATATATACAAAACTACATTAATTATTAATGATTTCTGAATGACAGCACATGACAGATGAAGTGCTGATTCAATCAAATCAGACATATCGATCAATAAATCAATCACTACTTTACAAATCAAGCCCATTTCACTTAAATCCCCTCATCTCGACTTCTAACTAAAAAAAGTGTGTTTGATGAAGTAAATATTGACATTATTATGAATCATCTGTAAATATACCTAAATAACGCGAATGACAGCTCATTCATCATCTTATTTTAATTATTTAAAGGTGTTTTAGCTTCACTTGAAAACACAAATTACATCTTCACCTTATTTAACAGAAGTACAACTTGATATTTAGTCATTTATTATTAAGAATTACTGATTAAATTACTTTGATAAGCAAAACAAGCAGCTTGTCGCTTTAATAACGCGTCTTTTTCAACTAAACATACAGTCACACGTCTATTCAATCACATTATCACAAAAATGCGTGTGATTTCACGGTTTTAATGTTTATTCATCAGCTTGACGTGCCGTGTTATTTCCACGTATTGAGCTGCTGCTGCTGCTGCTAGCCGGAGCGCTAATCATAAACATAAACAATCCGCTTCAGAGCCATAAAAGCGCTTCAGGCTCCGTCAGAAATACCACAGCGAGTGTTTATCATGTCAAATACCTGTTAAATGCAATAAAGCAGCTCCTGGCGATCATAATACCGTCAGATTACCGCTCACATCCTCACAGACGGGCTCATATCACACACTCAGCGTTCACCGGCCCATAATGCACTACGCGCGAAACGCGGATACTTCCGGTTTATGCTGTCAACGCTTAAAAGATGAATCACTCCGATGTCATGCGGTCTTTAGATTCGATGTTTACAACAAGTTAATCACTAATATATATACGCACATATATTTAATTATGTGTGATTTTGGAAATTATTTGTTTTTATTTTGATACTTTTGCTTCAATTTATGAAAATGAATGTCCATCTTCTGTTTTAATAGGGTAATAATAATGTAGGGTAATAATAATGTATACCGGCTATATATATATATATATATATATATATATATATATATATATATATATATATATATATATATATATATATATATATATATATATATATATATATATCCATCCATGCACCCACCCATTCGTTCATCATTCATTCGTTCATCTATTAATCCATTAATTTATTCATCCATCCATTCATCCCTTCACCCATCTATTCATCCATCCATTTATCCATTCACTCATTAATTTATCCATCCATCCATCCACCCATCTGTTCACCTATTCATTTATTCAACCATTTATCCATCCATCCACCCATCCATCCGTTCATCTATCCATTTATTTGCCCACCCATTCATTTATTCATATATCGATCCCTTTACCTATACATGCATTAATTCAATCATCCATTTATACATCAATCCATCCATCCACCATCCACGCATTCATTCATTCATTCAATTCACCGATTAATTTATTCATCCATTCATCCCTTCACTCATCCCTTCACCCATCCACCCATTCATCCATCCGCCCATTAAGTTATCCATCCATCCATACCTTCACCCATTCATATATCCATTCCTCATCCATCCATTCATTCATCTATTCATCATCCACCCACCCATCTATTCATGCATCTATTTATGCATCACTTCACCCGTCCATTAATTTATTTATTCATTCATCTATCTATCCATCCACCCATTAATTAATTAATTCATTCATCCATCCATCTATCCATCCATCTATTCATTCATTCATTCATTCTTTCATTCATTCATTCATTCATTCATTCATCCACCCATTCATTTATTCATTCATTCATTCATTCATCCATCTATCCATCCACCCATTCATTCATTCATTCATTCATTCATTCATCTATCCATCCATTAATTAATCTATTCATCATTCATGTAGTCTATATATGATGTCTTTCTTATACCATTTTAGAATTATAAATGTTGAAAAGGAGTTTGGTTGTTTTTAGTTTTTTGCAGTAATTTTATTCCTTGAGAATAATACAAAAACATTTCCGAGAAAATGCAACAACAACAATTTTAATAATGAAATAAAATATAGTATAATATATTATAGTAACCTCATCTCAAACTCACTGCTGATGAAAATCATTGGCTTTCTGAGGTGATAATCTACTGCGGTCTGAATTGAAACCAGCACAAGTGAAAGGAAAGTGATGCAGAAGAACTGATTAAGCAGGTTTTCACACCCATCAAAGTGTTTCACACAGATTCCCAACATGTTAAACAGCATCAGAGTTTGTTATTTGTAAGGCACGAGCAGCAGGAGGCTAAAGCAGAGAGACTTTAAACAGTAACCTACTGAAAGCACAACAAACACTCAAAATATAAGTTCATTATTGTCATCAATAGTTCCTTCACTTTCAGAAATAAAGGTACAAAGTGGTGCACTGTAAAAATATATCTGTTAATTAAGAGATTCTGTAGTTTGTGATTCACAAATGTTTATTTAAAGTTGTGAATTGCATTATGGGATGTTAATCTCTGTTCTGTCCACTTTTTATGTTGAAAATTCAACTCTGCAGTTTAGCAAAGTGACTTTTACTGACATTTTAGTCATTTGTCATAATATAATGTATAAGAAACCATATATAGGGAAATAAAGTCTGTAAAAACACAGAAATGTGCAGCAGTTTATTACAAGATTTCTGTAGCATAATATACAACACAAACCCAGACAATATAGCACTGCAAACTATTAAAAATGTTCATAAAGGTCACTTTTTTAAACTTTTTCAGCTAAGAGAAATGTTCCTAGTGTGAAAATCTCCTTTTTTATTCGTAATTTCCATATGCACAATTTGTAGAATCTGAACCGAATATCCTAAAATACATTCTCAGATGCACAAACAAGCCCCCGGTTAGTCCAGCGGCCCCAGAAAGATCAGTCTCACACACTTCATATCTCCCACGAAAGTCCGGGTAAAATCTGTGCGCTCCATGAAGACTTAATGGAAACAGTGTTATATAATGGAACAGTAATGCAAACCCTTTTTTGTCTTGCATATTTTCATTTCGCAATTTCAGTATATATGCTCTGAAACGTTCAAAGTGCAAAACCCTTTTTTATTTTGCATATTTTTAATTTGTTAGGTTTTTTTTTGCGCAATTTAAAGGCTGTAACAACAATGTTCCTAGTATGAAACCTCTTTTTATATTGCATATTTTCAATTCACAATTTTAACTTATGCAGTTTGAAGACTAATGAAAATGCTCCTAGTTTAAAAAACCCTTTTTGTATTGTGTATTTTCAATTTGCCATTTCAATTTGAGTAATTTAAAGATTAAAAGTAATGTTCCTGATGTAAAAAACCTGTTTTGTATTCTGTATTTTAATTCGTATTTTCAGTTTGCTCTGAAACGTACAAAGTATAAAATCTCATTTTTGTATTGCAAATTTTCAATTAATTTTTTATTAATTTTAATTTTAAGGTTAACAGAAACGTTCCAAGTGTGAAACCTCTCTTTGTATTGCAGTTGTCCAATTCGCGATTTTAACTTACGCAATCTGAAGACCGACGATAATGCTTTTAGTGTTAAAAAATCTTTTTTATTGTGCATTTTCAATTCGTGATTTCAATTTGCACAATTTTAAGGTTAACAGAAACGTTCCAAGTGTGAAACCTTTTTTAGTATTGCAGTTTTTCGCAATTTTAATTTACGCAATTTGAAGGCTAATGAAAACGTTCCTAGTGCGAAACCTCTTTTTGTTTTGAATATTTTTATTCTTTTTTAAATGTGCGCAATTTGAAATGCAAACAAAAACAATCCCAGTGTGAAAACCTCTTAGTATTTAGTATTTTAAATTGCAATTTTAGTTTGCTCTGAAATGCGTGTAGTGTAAAAACCCTTTTTTTGTATTGCCTATTTTCAATTCACAATTTCAATTACCGCAATTTGAAAAGTAACAAAAATGTTCCTTTGTATTCTTTTTAGTATCGTGTATTTTAAGTCGCAACTTCAGTTCGCTTTGAATTGCTCGTTGTGTAAAAACCCTTTTCTGCATTGCCTATTTTCAATTTGTTTTATTTAAAGTTTAAGGTTAACAGCAACATTCCTCGTAAAACAATTATTTTTTTGTATTGTGCATTTTCAATTCGTTTTTTTAAATTTGCGCGAACAGAAACGTTCCTAGTGTAAAAACCTCTTTTTGTATTGGATATTTTAAATTCTCAATGTCAGTGGTAATTTGAAGACTAATGAAAATGCTCTAAGTGTAAAAAAACACCCTTTTTGTATTGTGTATTTTCCAATTTGGAATTTTAATTTGGGCAATTTTAAGGCAAACACAAATGTGAAATTCTTTTTTTTTTGCATTGTGTATTTTTAGCAACTTCAGTTTGCTCTGACATGTTCGCACTGTAAAAAACCTTTTTTGTATTGCCTATTTTTAATTCACGATTTCAACAAAACATTACTAGCATGAAACCTCTTATTGTATTGCATAATTTTCAATTAGCAAAATTCAATTTGCGCAGTTTGATGGCTAACTGAAACGTTCTTAGTGTAAAACCATTTTCAATACGTAACTTCATTTTGTGCAATTTGAAGAATCTGAACTGATGGCTTGTTAAAAAAAATCTTCAAATACAGTCTCACGCACTTCATATCTCCCTCCAGCGGGCTCACACAGAATGGACACATGCGCTCCATGAAGACTCAGGAAACATTTCTTTTGTAAAAAATCTCTTGTTTTTGTATTGTGTATTTTCATTTTGCAATTTTGATTTGTGCAATTTGCAGGCTAACAGAAACATTCCTAATGTGAAAACCTCTGCTGCATCCCAATCCACATACTGTCCGTCCTAAGTAGTATTGGAAAGTAAAATTAGCATACTACGGTCCCAAACCGTAGTATGCTAAAAAAAAAAGTGTACGAGAAAGATTCCTGCATGCTCTACTACTTCTGTTAAAAATTCGAAGTGTAGAAGCGTCTGTGCGATAATCACTAATATTGCCCACAATACACTGCGCGGTGGACGTGAATTCGATTAGAACTACAAACTTAGAGAAAAAATGTAAACAAAATACAAACATGGCGGACACTTTTGTCCGAAAGCTTGCACACTATTCTGTTATACACTCAAAAGCATGTCATTTTTTCTTCATTAAAAGTACATACTTTTGGAACAGAGTATAAGCGAAATAGGACATTTTTGTATTGTGTATTTTAAGCTATAAAGCATTAAGGCTAATGAAAATGTGTGAAAACCCTTTCATGCGGTGTGTATGTTCAATTCATAATTTTCTTTAATGTAATTTGAAGACTCTGAACAGTTGATGGCTTGTCGAATAAAAAAATCAGCACTAAAAATCAGTCTCAGAACACACATTCAGTCCAGCGGCCCCTGAAAGATCAGTCTCACACACTTCATATCCCGCGCCAGCGGCCTCACACAGAAGGGACAGGCGTTGTGAAAGCCGTGTGCGCCGTGCGGCAGCAGCAGATCGCTCCAGAAGGCCGCCGTCCGCTCTGAGCATACGTGTCCACAGGGGTTAAAGGCGTGCGTTGGTGGAGCACCGTCCAGATAAAGGCCTGACTCGCGGCCTAGCTTCAGCGGCACATACAAGCCTCGCGTTCGGCACAGCGGGCACTCCCTCTCACCCTCCACCATCTCCCGCTCGCCCTCCTGCACCTCCATCTGGTCCTCGTTCTCCTCCTCCTCCTCGGTGGAGCCGTGTTTGCTGACCCGCCGGCGCCCCCTCCAGGCGTGGTATCCGTGCACGTGTCCGCAGCGCAGGTACACCCAGGGCTGGTGCTGCAGGCTGGATGTCCTGATGGAGCGCTGCAGGCTGGGGAAGGCCAGCGTGTGCAGGCCGACGGGACACTGGGGCCGGGCCGCGTTCAGCTCGCGACGCAGCTCCTCCAGCTGCTTGAGGGATGGCGTGCGGGACAGACCCTCCGCCGAACGCCACAGCAGCGTCGCTCCACACAGGTCGATTAAAGTGCCGTCGGTCAGCTCGTGACACTCGTGTTCAACCTGCACACACACATAGAACAACACAGTGATTTTGTGTGGTTAGTGTAGGTTTGTTTGTTTGTTTGTTTGTTTGTTTGTTTGTTTGTTTGTTTGATTTTTCGAGTAATTCTGGCAGCTACAATGTGTCATCTTATAGGCTGATCTTACGAAGAAACAGAACTATTTTACGTTTTGTCAGTGTAGTAGCTAATTCGTATAAATTCGTTAAATAAATTTATTCATAGATTTTAGTACGATTTGCTCATCTTTTTGGTTTAGAGGCGGGGCTTGGCATTTTCGTTCGACTGAACTCCTTCATCTGAACTAAATGAAAAAGTTACGAATTGTGTGAGATAGCGTTGGGTTTCATTTGAGTTTTTATTAAAGTGCTGTCCGTCAGTGACACTTTTTAAACTGCCCACAAATAACACAACATAGTCCTAATAAAATCTACGAATGAGATTGTACCGATTCATGCGAATTAGCCACTAAATCAACAAGTTACGAATTGCCATGAGTCAGCATCGAATTTTAATTAAATTATGATTAAAGCATCATCCGTCAGCTCGTGACACCCGTTTTCAACCTGCGCACAAAGACAAAACAGTGATTTTGTGTGGTTAGTTTTTGTTTGTTTGTTTGTTTGTTGATTTATTTATTTATTTGTTTGTTTGTTTGTTTGTTTGTATGTTTTATTTTTTGTTTTTGTGGTAATTCGGGCAGCTAGATGCTGTTTTTCTAGCCTGATCTCACAAAGAAACATAACTATACAACACAATCTCACGGCAGTTCGTAACTTTTTTATTTAGTGGCTAATTCGTACGAGTTCGTATGATCTAATTTGAGATCTTACATTTTAGTACGAATTGCTCATCCCCCAATGACCGTTGGGTTTAGGTGCCACGCCTCCTTTTTAAAATCCTACAATTTCGTACGACTGAACTCGTACGAATTAGTACGAATTGGCCTCTAAACTGGCAAAACGTAAAATACTTACGTTTTCTTGTGAGATCAGGCTGAACTATTTTACGTTTTGTCAGTTTAGTAGCTAATTCATATGAGCAAGTCGTACTAAAATCTACGAATGAGATTGTACAGATTCATACAAATTAGCCGGTGAATCAACAAGTTATGAATTGCCATGAGTCAGCATCGAATTAAAAAAAAAATTTGATTAAAGTGTCATCCGTCAGCTCGTGACACTCGTGTTCAACCTGCGCACACAGATAGAACAACACAGTGATTTTGTGTGGTTAGTGTTTGTTTGTTTGTTTGTTTGTTTGTTTGTTTGTTTTAGTTTAGGTTTTGGGGGTATTTTTGCCAGCTAGTATGGAACCAGATTAGTTTCAAAAACAATACATTTTCAAAGGTTTTGCCTAATTAAACAAACCTGTCTAGTTAACATACTTAACCTAGTTAAGCCTTTAAAGTTTAAAGTGCTCTTTTATAAATTATTTTATCTTGCAAAATAACTAGTAAGATATTATGTTCCATCACCTTGTTTTAAAAAATGTGTAAAAAAATCACTTTAGCACAAAATGTTCATTTTTTTCGATGGAAATTTCAGCTGGCACTTAGAGGTTTTTGCATCTGAGCTCTTAATATACACACACACGCACCTGCACACGCGCACGCACGCACGCGCACACACCAAAATTTCAATATATGTCAGTATTGAACAGTTGAGTCTGCATTGGCTGTAATTGTAAATATTCACTAGATGGCGCAGCAGCTCAACCTCAACACAGCTCTAACTCCACAGCAGCTCAGACTCAAACAGCAGTCAATGAATGATGTGCAGTGAGTCCATCTAGACTAGAGTCACAAAGCAGTCCAGACCACACACGCTATTTAAAGAGCCCGCTTCAGACACCACACACTAATACACACACACACACACACACACACACACACACACACACACACACACACGGAAACCACACAAACACACACCAGCTATCACAAACACTGCATTACCACCATTCACAGCAGACAGAGACTTAAAAGACATCTGTTTAGCTGAGCGTTTACAGTATCTATTCATGCATCTTTCCTTTTTATTCCTTTCATTTTGATCAATTTTCAATTGATGCACTAAATAGCTAAAAGTGCATTTAAGAAAATAAATCTGAAAATGTCTGTTGTTTACAGAACAAAAAAAAATAATAATAGTTTTACTCAAACACATGACTATAAATGATAAATTCAGAGAAACTGTGAATTTCCATGACATCTTTTATTTGTTTTCTCAGCATAAATGAGTGCACAAGCTTTTCATCATGACATTTTTCATCCATTTCTCAGTGAATACGAACTATATTTTTTGTTGCATTTAAACAAAACAGTTTTATTAAACAGATTTATCCAATAAAGTAAAAGTTTGGGCACCAAATATATTTAGGAATTGAAAAATATTACATTTAAATAAAAAAATACATATATAAAATACAAAATTTCAACAAAATGTAATATATATATATATATTTCTCTTTAATTTTCCTGTTTATTTAAATTTAATTAAAAATTTTCCACAAGATATTAATGTCATTTACTTATTAATTTTTCTTTGGCTTAGTCCATTTATTCATCTTTATTGGTTAGGTGGCCCGGTGTGCTCTGATTGGACAGGAGGCAGCTGTGTGCACTGATTGGTCAAGTGCCTCACACCGTGCTCTAACAAAACATGCGATGCAGCTTAATCCTGTGTTCTGCCGCGACGTTGCAGAAATAGAAACGGTGTCAAAAATCGAAATTTCTCACATCCCTGTCACTGATGGTCAGCACAAAAACTCCTTTTAACACAGCAGAATGAACCACCAACTACTTTAGCATATGATTTACGCTTGAAGAATGCCGGTCAAGCTGCAACCCAGTACTGGAAAACACTCATACACACTCATTCACACACTCACTCATACAATACGGGCAATTTAGTTAATCAATTCCCCTATAGCATAAGTGTTTGGGCTGTGGGGGAAACCGGAGCACCCGGAGGAAACCCACACCAACACGGGGAGAACATGCAAACTCCACATGGAAATGCCAACTGACTCAGACGAGGCTCGAACCAGCGACCTTCTTGGTGTGAAGCGACAGTTCTACCACTGAGCCACTGTGCTGCCTTTTTAAATGAAATTGTAAAGTGCACTAAAACCTTTTAATTAAACTGCTTTCTGCACCTCAGCCCTAATCTTCTATCGCCTTCATTTCTTCACACATTTAAAACTTGTAAAACTTTACAGGCTATAAGTATCTGAGCTGTGCCGATCTTGAGAAATGTTCTGGTGTTTAGCAGCGCGTGTCATTTCACAACGCCGTCTGCTCCTCACACACTGTTCATCCAGGGGAAAAGCTGCATGGCGAGGTTACGGACAGGACTTCTGTCGCCATGGAGACGGGACTTTAACAACACAACAAACTGCTGCTGCTGCTGGGCGGGAGTCAAATCACACACACATAAACACACACACTTACATGCGCGAACACACACACACACACACACACACACAGGCATGCAGACACAGAAACATGCAAATGCACACACATGCAGACAAACACACACACACACACACACACAGACGCCTGCACATACACACACACACACACACACACACACACACACAAGTAGATACATACATACATACACACAGATGCACACACACATGCACATACACATGCATACACACACATGCACATACACACACACACATAGAAACACACAGGCACATGCATACACACATGCACATATGCACACACAGAAACACACACACACACAAATAGATTCACTCAAACTCACACACACAGATACGCTGGCACACACACACACACACACACACACACACACGCACACACATACCCACACAGATGTACACACACATGCAAACACACATCCAGTCACAAAAAATGAACACGCACATGCACACACAGAAACATGCAAACACACTCTCTCACATACACACAAACAAACACACACACACACATGCACACAAACACTCACACATAAAAACAGACAAACACTCACACACAAAAACTAGCAGACAGATACACACACACACACACACAAACAAATACACGCAAACATTTACACAAACTCTCACACACACACACACACACACACACACAGACGCCTGAGTGTTGATTTAGTGTCAGTGGGCGATGCTGATTGAAGAGATAAATAAACACACACACATTCTTATTCACACTGCAAAAATGCGCTCCTGCTGTGTGTGTGTGTGTGTGTGTGTGTGTGTGTGTGTGTGTGTGTGTGTGATTCCTGATAAGGACGATGGGAATTTTGTTGTCATGGTGATGTTTGGGTAACAAAACAAGGAAATGTCACACTAATGTTTATCTGTGCGTCTCTGCAGTGTCGCCATGGCAAAGCTCTGACCTCGTTCCTCTGACTTTTACTGCAGCTCCTCATACTGTGTGTGCGCTGTATGCTGTTCAATGATGACGCTTTAAGAGATTCAGATGGACTGATTCAGTTTGATTCTGATTCACAAGCTCTTGATTTGATTCTATTTGATTCATGAGAATCATGAGAATCAATCTTGAATCAACTAGATGAGTGTGTATGGATGTTTCCCAGTACTGAGTTGCAGCTGGAAGGGCATCTGCTGTGTAAAACATATGCTGAATAAGTTGGTGGTTCAAACCGCTGTGGCAACCCCTGATTAATAAAGAGACTAAGCCGAAAATAAAATAAATGTATAATATAATATAATATAATATAATATAATATAATATAATATAATATAATATAATATAATATAATATAATATAATATAATACAATTAATATAATATAATATAATATAATATAATATAATTAATATAATATAATATAATATAATATAATATAATATAATATAATATAATATAATATAATATAATATAATATAATATAATACAATTAATATAATATAATATAATATAATATAATATAATATAATATAATATAATTAATATAATATAATATAATATAATACAATTAATATAATATAATATAATATAATATAATATAATATAATATAATATAATACAATACAATACAATATAATATAATATAATATAATGTAATGTAATGTAATGTAATGTAATGTAATGTAATGTAATATAATATAATAAAATATAATAAAATATAATATAATATAATATAATATAATATAATATAATATAATAAAATAAAATATAATATAATTTAATATAATATAATATAATATAATATAATATAATATAATATAATATAATAAAATATAATATAATATGATATAATATAATATAATATAATATAATATAATATTATATAATATAATATAATAAAATATAATAAAATATAATATAATATAATTAATAAAATATAATATAATATAATATAATTAATATAATATAATATAATATAATATAATATAATATAATATAATATAATATAATATAATATAATATAATATAATATAATATAATATAAATACATTTACATAAAGCAACATAATTTTTTTTTTTAATAAAATAAAATAAAATAATGAAAATAAAAAGTTACCTCAGATGTGCATTTTTTGTAATAATTCAATGGGTTTTTGTCAGTTATTTCTCACTTAATCTAATATGTGCTCTCACCAGTTTGCCACGTTTCTGGGCAGAGCGCGTCTCTCTGAGCGTGAAGACGTTTCCACAGACTGAAATCTCTCTCCAGGGTCCCGGTTTGGACTCGCAGGTGAATCCGTGTCGCGGTCGCATCACTAACACACCGTTCGTGGTCAGTCCGTCCATCTGACTATCAGAGCACCACCATTTCGCTGCTTTCTCCTGAGGACGGAGGGAAAATAATGTAACTGATTCGTTCATTTGTGCACTTTGTTTTCTGATTTGTTTGCTCATGGACTTCATTCAGTTGATTCAGTTGTGCATGAACTCTGTTCACTGATTTGTTCATTTGTGCATTTTATTTGGTGATTTGTTTGTTTGTTCAATTTGTTTACTAATTTATTAATTTGTGCACTTCACTCACAGATTCGTTCATTTGTGCACTTCTTTTGCTAGTGTCCGTTCAATTAATTTAATAATTGGTCAACTTAATTAATTAATTAATTCATTCATTCATTCATTTTCTTTTTGGCTTAGTCCCTTTATTAATCTAATTTCCTATATCGCATGTTTTTAGACTTGTGGGGGAAACCGGAACACCCGGAGGAAACTCACCCGAACACAGGGAGAACATGCAAACTCCACACAGAAATGCCAACTGATCCAACTGAGGCTTGAACCAGAGACCTTCTTGCTGTGAGGCGACAGCACTACCTACTGCGCCACCGCGTCACCCCAACTTAATTCAATAATACTTTAATATATTCATTTGTTTCATTCATTCAATAATTTCCTGATTCATTCAATTGTGCATTTCATTCATTGATTCGTTCATTTGGTCACATTATTCATTGATTCATTAACTCTGCCACATCATTAACAGATTAATTTGTTTTGCTAACTTCTTTTAGTAATCTCCATTGATGTCAATTAAAGATTCATTTGGTTGAACACTTGATTCATCGTCTGATTCACTCACTTCAATTACTGATTCAGTTGTTTATTACCATGAATCACTAATTCAGATTCACAGATTCTCCACTGATTCTTCATTGTGTTTGTGCTTCACTCACCCCAAGGAAGATGCTTTTAGACGAGTCGAAGCCTGCAGCGTAGATGTGCGCGGTGTACGGCGGTGCTCTCTGACACACAATCCGACAGGCAAACCGCGATATAGTGCTCTGAGACGTCAGCGTATCACTGTTAGCTTTACAGCCCGCCCCCGTGTCCATCACCACGAAATCTATAGGGCTTTCTGTGGAGCGGCCGATCTGCAAACAAACACACAAATAAATATGACTGAATGGAGTTTGACCAATGAGGAAAGCAAAACATTTGTCAGTCAAATGAGATATTAAAGGGATAGTTCACACAAAAATGAAATTTTGGCACGGTCGCCTCCTTTCTGTGTGGAGTTTGCATGTTCTAAACACATGCGCTATATGTGAATTGGGTGAACTAAATTGTCCATAGTGTATGAGTGTGTGTGTGAATGAGTGTGTATGGGTGTTTCCTAGTACTGGGTTGCGGCTGGAAGGGCATCCGCTGCAAAAAACATAAGCTGGAATAGTTGGTGGTTCATTCCACTGTAGCGACCCCTAATAAATCAGAGATTAAGCCGAAGAAATATGAATGAATGAACGAAAGAATAAATGAATGAATGAATAATAGAACAAATGAAAGAATGAATGAATAAATGAATGAATGGATGAATGAATAAGCAGGAATAAATGAATTAACGAATAAAAAATAAATGATTGAATTAATTAATGAATTAATAAATGAATGAACGAATGAATGAATGAATGATTGAATGAATTAATGATTAAATGAATGAATGGATAAATGAATTAACAAATAAATGAATAAAGGAATTAATGTATAAATGAACGAATTAATGAATGAAAGAATTAATAAATAAATAAACGAACGAACTAATGAATGAATGAATGAATAAATGAATAAACGAATGAATGAATAAATGAATAAATGAATAAATAAATGGAAGAATGAATGAACAAACAAATGAATAAATGAATGAACAAATGATTGAATTAATTAATTAATAAATTAATAAATTAAGAAATGAAGGAAGGAACGAATAAATATATATGAAGAAATAAATTTATTAACGAATGAATAAATCAATAAATGATTGAACGAATGAACAAATGAATGAATGAATGAATGAATGAATGAATGAATGAACGAATGAATGAATGAATGAACGAACAAACTAATGAATGAACAAACTAATGAATGAAAGAATGAACGAATAAATGAATGATTAAATAAATGAATGAACAAATTAATAAATGAATGAATGAATGAAAGAAAGAAAAAATGAATGAATGAACAAATGAATGAATGAAAATTTGATGGAAGAAAAAAAATAAGAAGCAAACCTGAAACATGTCGGTGGTGCTGTCGTGTGTGTACTCCACAACCACCGTCTGTGTTCTGGACAGAGTATATGAGACACTGTGCTGGAGTTTATTGCTGATGGCCTGCAGAAACACAAAGTGTGTGTTATCAGCACACTTGTTCCTCATATTAACATCGCTTTTACAGCATGCAGGAATAAAAAACGTCACAAGCTGTGTTTCCTAACATATATCTAAATGCACGTTTTAGTGTATCGCATAAAGGATGCAGCAAAATGCTAGTAAATATGATTATACAGTACGGTCAACTGAGGCTGATGATTATGTTTTATGCCACAAGCAGCATGAAGATATATACGCCATGCTGGATGATCATTAATATACAGCGGGGGAAATTAGTTCTCAACATGTCACCATTTTTCTCAGAAAACATATTTTCTAAAGGTGCAGTTGACTTGAAATTTTCCACAAATGTTAGTAACAACCAAATAAATCCATAAATGTAAAGAAAACAAATCTAATTTGTTTATAAATGAAGTTATGAATAATAAAATGAAATGACGCAGGGAAAAGGGTATTGAACACATGAAGAAAGGAAGGTGTAGAAAGACATGGAAAGCCCAGACAGCAGCTAAAATCTCTCAGCAGTTCTTCAGCAACACTCTGCCCTCCCTCAGTGTAACTCAATATCAGCTGCTTCAGTCCAACATCTACATTAGCAGGAGGATAAAGAGAGGACCAGCGTGCTTCATTTATTTATGCTTTAGGCTGAAATGTACGTTGCATTCAGTGGCAGTGAATAATGATAAGCAAAACATTCAGCTTATGCAAAAGCCCTCAAAATACTATACGTCACATAAATGAGCGCTAATATCTTTCAAAGGCATATAAAAATGCAATAGGGTCAGCTTTACCCTGGCGGTCTGAGCGCTGCATGTGCTGTGGACGGTGCTGGGTTTGACTCCATTGGCTTTCGGCCTCTTAAAAAGAGCGAATCGGCTCTTCCTTCGTCCCCGGTCTCCGTTCGGCAGGGAGCCGTTGTAGCTGAATGGCAAACACAAACGCTTGAGAGAAGAAGTAAGTACAAAATTCGACATTAGTAAGATTTACCAAGCATGTGAGTGTGAACTTACCCGAGGACGATGAGCTCGCCGTATTTGACGGGTTTTAGCAGATCCTGCTCGGGAGACAACATCGTTCTGGTCTGCAGCTAAATAAATGTGTCTGATGGTTTCTTTATTTCATTAACTTTCCTCCTCAGTGCTCCTCCATCACGTTCTCTCCATAAGGCATCTGCAAACAGATGAGAACACAAAATGATTGCTCACACTTTATTTTGATGGTCCGTTTGTTGAATTGAAGTAACATTGCATCTACATGCCAACGTATTCTCATTAGATTATAAGTAGACTGTTAGGTTGGGGTTAGTTTAAACTACACCTTGTTCATGGCACTATGAAGAGTAGTAAAACTGAAAGCCTTGAAAGTGAAAGTGAAACCAAATCTAAAGCTGTTATGGAGATAAAGTGAGAGTTCTTTCATGTCACAATAAACAAAAACCGTATATGAGGAGTTTAAACTGAGAAAAGTAGATGCTTTATTTATTGTTGTCATCTGAAGCCCAAGATGTAAAGGCCCCGCCCACTTTAAAAAAAAAGAAGGCTCATTTGCATTTAAAGAGACACACATTTACAGCACGGTATAATGAACAGAGGTGGGAGTAAGTCACATGTGCAAGTCACAAGCAAGTGTCAAGTCATAACTTTCAAGTCTCAAGCAAGTCAAGTCATTTTTTGTCAGACTCAAGTCAAGTCAGGAGTTTGCATGTTCTCCCTGCCATCGCGTGGGTTTCCTCCGGGTGCTCCGGTTTCCCCCACAGTCCAAAGACATGCGATACAGGTGAATTGGGTAGGCTAAATTGTCCGTAGTGTATGAGTGTGTGTGTGGATGTTTCCCAGAGATGGGTTGCGGCACGAAGGGCATCCGCTGCGTAAAAACTTGCTGAATAAGTTGGCGGTTCATTCCGCTGTGGCAACCCCGGATTAATAAAGGGACTAAGCCGACAAGAAAATGAATGAATGAAGTCAAGTCAAGTCACAGCTTATTTCAAGTCACGTCAAGTCAAGTCGTAGCTTGGTCTAGCAAGTCACTTTCAAGTCAATCTAATTATATAAATATATATCAGAATCAGATGGCTTTTTGCTCAGGGGAATGTGTGTGCTTACTTTAAAGCCATTAAAATATTATACTATCAATAAACGAGAACCTAAATGACAAAACCATCTTAAAGTGCACAGTCACATTCTTGGGGGGAAAAAATTATTGAATCAAAATAATCTTTTTTTTTTATTACAAAAAAGCATCATTTTATTAAAAGTAAAGATCATGTTCCTCGAAGACATTTTGTATATTTCAATAACTCCAATAAAATTGTTTTGATTAGTGATGTGAATTGCTAAGAATGAACTCTAAAGGAGTTCACCGCTGACAGGTCAAATCTGCGTCTTTCTCTCTCTTTCAAGTTCAAAGCAAACTTGAATGCAAAAGCATTTTAGATATGTATATAAAATAGCCTGTGTATTAGCCTAATGACATCATCAAATTGATGTTTGGTTAAATTAGGCGGATACACTGGAACCGATGAGCTGTTAATACTGCACATGCGTAACTTTCTGTGTTGTTTTGTTTTTTAATGCTTAATATATAACAAATGGTTGTGTATTTAACAAACCCTGCTGAAAAATCCAGCTTAAACCAGCCTAGGTTGGTTGGCTGGTTTTAACTAGTCGACCAGGCTGGTTTTAGAGGGGTTTTGGCCACTTCCAGGCTGGTTTGCAGCCATTTCCAGCCTGGTCTTAGCTGGTCAGGCTGGGAGATGACCAGCTAAAACCAGCTTGACCAGCCTAGCCAAGCTGGGAGTCCAGTCAAAACCAGCTATATCCAGCTTAAACCAGGCTGGTCAAGCTGGATTTAGCTGGATTTGGCTGGTAATTTTCCAGCCTGACCAGCTAAGACCAGGCTGGAAATAGCTGGAAACCAGCCTGGGAATGGCCAAAACCCCTCTAAAACCAGGCTGGTCAACCAGCTAAAACCAGCCAACCAGCCTAGGCCCAAGTCAAGAAGGAGTCTTTGTTGGATATTTGTCAAGCAAGTCTCAAGTCCTAAATTTTGTGACTTAAGTCTGAGTCAAGTCATGTGGCTCGAGTCCCCCATCTCTGATAATAAATGACCTGAAGGGACTTTTGAGTCAAAACTTACAGATGACTAAATGATGAGTATGCAAAATCTATTTACACACAAGTCAACAATAGGGTCTTCAAAAGAAAATAATAACATGAGATCATGCACAGCGATCACAGGGATGGTTTCGCTTCCTCTCAGTGTGGGTTGGCATCAGTGTTGTTTTGCTCTGTCAGGGTCAAGCAGACACGGAAAGTCAGTCGACGCTGACACGCAATAAAACCACACGCATAAAAATAGCAGGAGACACACATCCCTGTTTCCGACACAAAAAAACCATCAACAGCCACAAATGACAGTGCTTTTTTATATACATGGACAAACACAAATGAGTTCACAATAATATCACACGTGAACACATGCAAAACAACACGCAAATAAAACCAGAGCTACTGCATGAAGCAAATGTGTGAACACAAGCAGGATTTGCATGTAAAGTAACACAGGCATGCAAAAACAAACACCAATGCAATGTGCAACGCAACAAATATATCAATACAATACAACAGCGCCTAAGTAACAAGCAAAACTCATTTAAATTAAAATGCAAGGAAACAAACTAATCAACAAAACACAGTTGCAAATAAAACAAAATTGTTAAATAAAATGAAATAAGTTTAATGAAACACACTTCAGCAAAAGACAAACACAAATCAAAAGCAAAATCAAGCAACACACACCAGCACACACTCTAAAAACAATCTGTGTTGTATTAGCCCAACATTGGGCCAAATATGGATAAACCTTACCCAACATTGACCTAATTTTTAAAAATCTAATTTAAATTACACTATTTTTATACAGCTGTTGTGTTCGCATATATTTGACCCAATGAGGAGTTTTTAGAGAGCAGCTTAAACCAAACAAACATATGCATGTACAAACTTTCCAACAAACATTTCAAATCACAAAACAAATACAGCTGCAGAGCAACAAACAAGACAAAAACAAACATAAAAAACGAAAGTAACGGACAAACACAACTATACAGCAAAAAAGCTGGGTTATTTCAACCCCAATTTGGGTAGAATATGGACAAACCCAACTATTGGCTTAAAATCAGGCTATAAATTTAATATAAAAAAATTCTTAGTCCACCAGTTTGGTTTATTTTCACCCAATTTGTGATGGCCAAACAAGTTATTTAATATTAAACAACCCAGCAATTTTTCTGTGTACAAATCACCAGACATAAACTGAGCCTTAATAACAGCAAACACAAAACAAATACAGTCGCAAAGCAACAAACAAAACAAAAACAAACATTAAAAATGAAAGTAACAAACACACACAACAGCATACACTAAAATAACTTGGGTTATTAATCCAACCCAGATTTGGGTAGAACATGGATAAGCCAAGTCATTGGCTTCAAATTAGCCCATATTTAATGACAAATTTCAACCCACCAGTTTGAGTCAAATATGGACATACTCAACCACTGCCTTAAAATTGGGATATAATTTTTAAAAAAGTTTTTAACTCCACCGGTTTGGTTTGTTATCATTTAATTTGTGATGGCAAATAAGTTATTTGATATTAAACAATCCAGAAATTTCTAGTGTGCAAATGCCCAAACATAAACTAAGCCCTAATAACAACAAACACAAAACAAACACAGTCGCAAAGCAACAAACAAAACAAAAGCAAACATAAAAAATGAATGTAATAAACAGACACACCTACATACACAAAACAAGTTGGGTCATTTCAACCCAACTTTGGGTCAAATATGGACAAACCCAACTATTGGCTTAAAATTGAGCTAGAATTAAAATATAAGGAATTTTTAAGCCACCAGTTTGATTTATAATCATCGAATTTGTGATGGGAAAATAAGTTATTTTATTTTAAATAACCCAGCATTCTATTAGTGTACAAATCACCAAACATAAACTAAGCCTTAATAACAACAAACACAAACAAATACAGTCGTAAAGCAACAAACAAAACAAAAACAAATATTAAAAATGAAAGTTACTAACACACACAATTACATACACTAAAAAAGTTGGGTTATTAATCCAACCTAAATTTGGGAAGAACATGGATAAACCAAGCCATTGGCTTCAAAATGGCCTGGTATTTAATATAATTTTTTAAGCCACTAGTTTGGTTTATTTTCACCCAATTTGTGATGAGCTAATAAGTTATTTGATTTTAAATAACCCAGCGATGTTTTGTGTACAAATGCCCAAACATAAACTAAGCCTTAATAACAACAAACAAAAAACAAATACAGTCAGAAAGAAACAAACATAAAAAAATGAATATAACAAACACACACAACTACATACACTACATAAGTTGGGTCATTTCAACTCAAATTTGGGTGAAATGGAAAAACAAAACTATTGACTTAAAATTAGGCTATACATATAATCTAAAAAAAAATTTAACCCACCAGTTTGGTTCATTTTCACAAAATGTGCGATGGAAAAATAAGTTATTTGATTCTAAATAACCCAGCAATTTTAGTGTACAAATCACCAACCATAAACTGAGCCTTAATAACAACAAACACAAACAAATACAGCTCCAAAGCAACAAACAAAACAAAAACAAACATTAAAAACGAAAGTAACAAACACACGACTACACCAAATACACCAAAAACATTAAATTATTTCAACCCAAAATTGGGTCAAATATGAACAAACCCGACTACTGGTTCAGAATTGGGCTATAAATTCAATATTCAGTCATTCATTTTGCTTCTGCTTAGTGCCTTTATGTATCGGCGGAATGAACCACAAACTATTGCAGCATATGTTTTACGCAGCGGATGCCCTTACAGCTGCAATCCAGTACTGGGAAACACCCATACACTCTAACATTCACACATATACACTACAGCCAATTTAGTTTATTCAATTCCCCTATAGAGCATGTGGGGGAAACCGAAGCACCCAGAGGAATCGAACCAGCGACCTTCTAACTGTGAGGCGACAGTGCTAACCACTGAGCCACCGTGCCGCCCGCTATAAATTCAATATAAAAAAATATTTAACCCACCAGTTTGGTTAGTTTTAATCCAATTTGTAATAGGCAAAAATATTCATATTTACCCAATTTGATTTTAAAAAACCCAGCAATTTTTTGTACAAAACATCAAACATAAACATGCAAATAAAACATAAACGCGAGAGCAAATAAACAAACTACACTGTTAAAAAATCTATTAGCTGGATTTACATAAAAAGAGTGAGTAAACCCAATGCCTTAACACTTTTGAGTAAATGAACTGTGCATACTTATACAAGTTAAGTTGAATCAACTTAATCAACAGCTGCAAGTTACAATAGGTTTACTCACTTTTTAAAGTAAAGACAACTGTTCGCTTTTAAGGCATAAACAATCACTTCTTACAGAGTAAATAAACAAATGCACACACGAAAACTAGAAAAAAAGCACACAACTGCAACTACTTTTTGCATGCTAGAATTTACATAAAAAAACCCAACTATGGCTGTTTTTTTGCAATCGCATAACTAACAACCCACCGACGACAGTAAGAGTGCAAATCTCCAGGCCTCATCCGTCTGCTCTCGCTCCTGCAGGTCTGCATGAATGACCCACAGAAAGACAGAAAGCGAACTTAAACACCACAGATATCTGATCCCAGCTTCAAGCACTTCATCATCCGCCTGACAGAAACACTCCGGCATGCTGTGAATAAACTGCTCAGCTCATTCTTGCCTGTCACACACACACACACACACTAACACAACCACACAAAGACAGATATACGTCTTAAGGACAGATACCATCAGCCCTGAGGTGTGTGTGTGTGTGTGTGTCTTCGTCCCTCTATCCATGCCAGACATTTGCTCAGAAAAACACAGAAGACATTTATTTGCACACTTGCCAGGCGGCTACAACACAGCACGCTGTTTCCATGGTTACCCAGTATACAGTGAGTGATGTATTATTGGATGTAGGGCGCACACCTCTCTGAGTTTTGAAGGAGGCTCGCTAATGATGAACTGTGATTTATGTTTTTTAAACACACACACACACACACACATATTCACTCACAGGCCACTTTATTAGGTACACCTTACTAGTACCGGGTTGGAGCCCCTTCAGAACTGCCGTAATCCTTCGTGGCGTAGATTCAACAAGGTGCTGGAAATATTCCTCAGAGATTTTGCTCCATATTGACATGATGGCATCACACAGTTGCTGAAGATTTGTCGGCTGCACATCCATGATGTGACTCCCGTTGCACCACATCCCAAAGGTGCTCTATTGGATTTATATCTGGTGACTGTGGAGGCCATTTGAGTACAGTGAACGCATTGTCATGTTCAAGAAACCAGTCTGAGATGATCCACACTTTATGTTATGGAGGTTTATCTTGTGGGAAGTAGATATAAAAAAATGGGTACACTGTGGTCATAAAGGGATGGACATGGTCGGCAACAATTGATTAGAAATTTACGCTAACAAGCAGTTGGACAGGTGTACCTAACAAAGTGGCCGGTGAGTGTACAGTTAAAGTCAGTATTATTCGCCCTCCTGTGAATTTTTCGTTTTCATTTTCAATTATTTCCCAAATGATGTTTAACAGATCCAGGAATTTTTCACAGTATTTCCAATAATATTTTTTCTTCTGCCGAAAGTCTTACTTGTTTTATTTCAGCTGGAACAAAAGCAGTTTTTAATGTTATTAAAACCATTTTAAGGTCAATAATATTGGCCCCCTTATTTATTTTTCCAATTGTCTCTACAGCAAGGGTTCCCAAAACTTTGCAGCCCATGACCATCTTCTGAGGTGGTTATAAACACACAAACGCTGCGCATACAACAATTAGCCTATATAAACACGAGCATATTCACAACACAAAAAAGTGCAACAGTCTAACATTCATTCATTGACTTGTCGGCTTAATCCCTTTATTAATCCGGGGTTGCCACAGCGGAATGAACCGCCAACTTATCCAGCAAGTTTTTACACAGCGGATGCCCTTCCAGCCGCAACCCATCTCTGGGAAACATCCACACACACGTTCATACACTATGAACAATTTAGCCTACCCAATTCACCTGTACCGCATGTCTTTGGACTGTGGGGGAAACCGGAGCACCCGGAGGAAACCCACGCGAAGGCAGGGAGAACATGCAAACTCCACACAGAAACGCCAACTGAGCCGAGGTTCGAACCAGCGACCTTCTTGCTGTGAGGCGACAGCACTACCTACTGCACCACTGCCTTGCCCACAGTCTAACAACCATATCATTTTTATAGTCATGTATTAATTAGTTTAATTTAATATTAACCTCACCTAAAGAGATTGGTGGGCAGAATGTTTACAGCACAAGTCTATTGGTGGTTTGATTTTGGAGATCCACCGCTCAGAGATCTTCCTCAATGTTCAGTTGTGACCTGTATTTATTTTGAATGTTTTTGATTGCCATAAAGGTGTCAGAAAGTTTCAGGTGGTGCTTTAAAATCAATCTGCTGCAGCTGACGCTATTGCAGTGCTGTTAATCTAAGATAAAACACCAATCCTATGACAAGAATTATTGAAAGGCTGATGACTTTTCATTTGCATGTTGTTGTTGTTTTCTATTAATTGCTATTTTTTATCTTCTGAAGGTTATGGATAAAATATGGTCATTCTAATAGTTTAATAAAATTTATTTGAGTTTGGAAATCACCAAGTGGCCCCCTGTCATTGTCCCGCCACACCCCAGGGGGATCCACTAGTCTACAGTACAAACCATCATTATATAATGACTTGCCTAATTACCCTAACTTTAACCTAATTAACCAAGTTAAGCCTTTAAATGTTACTTTAAGCTGAATACTAGTATCTTAAAGAATATCTAGTCTAATATTATGTGCTGTCATTATGGCAAAGATAAAAACAAATCAGTTATTAGACATTAATTACTAAAATTATTATGTTTAGAAATGTGTTGAAAAAAAATCTGCTCTTCCTTAAACAGAAATTAGGGACAAAATATACAGGAGGGTTAATAACTCTGACTGTATATTGCAGACAAACAAAATATCGCAATGTCAGATTTTTTACAATATCATGCAGCTCTTGTCCAACGTCAGTAAAGCAAGCGCTACAGGAGCTAAAGTGACAGATCTGGAAATGAGGAAGTGTTTTGGACACAGAGCTTGATTCAGGCCGCGTCTCAAAGCCCTGCGCTGGGCCTGAGCTCTGATCAACCCACCCGACCAGACCCTCCAGTCAAAGAGTGACTTCACTGACAAACAACAAAGACTCTTTTATTACACACACACACACACACACACACACACACACACACACACACACACACACACACACACACACACTCTGATCCAGAGCTCGCGACGCAGCCTGACTTCATCTACTGTGTGTGTAATAGAGACGATTTGTTTGTTTAACCGCAATATTTCAGCAGTGATATGAGCGATTCCATGCAAATGTCAACCTTGCCATGAAAATATTAGGTTTTCAGCAAAATAATGAAACCGTTTATAAGTTTTCTGTGCAAGCAGGTATTTCACAGTACTTTAACAAACTCAAAAATGTCTGTCAACGTTTTCAAACTATTATCTTTGATTAACCAAAGTCACAAAAGTACCAATTTCACATCCGTCTCATCCATATCAGAGAGATATCACATCCATAACCAAGCTTTTACCTCATAAATGCAAAAACGTCCAATAAAATAAAACTAATCATGTTTGTTCTATGGGGAGCAGCTCTTCTCCTTTTGATCAGCATTATTGCCTTTGGGTTGTCTAGTTTAATTGACAGAATTTCTACAGGGTATGTTGTACACTGTAAACTCACAGACGTTTTTGGTCAGATTCATAACACATGTTTTTTTTCCTCACTTAAATTATAAAGTATGTTTACAGATGTCTATTCAATTCTATATTAAAAGGACATCTCAGTTTTCTTTTAATAATTGCATATAAGTTAAAAACCATGAACACATTTGAAAACTACGCAATTTTACGTACTTAATTGTCATCAACTAATTAATTTTGGCTATCAAAATTGGTGCATCAGGTTTATTCCGTTAATCTCTAACATCATTTTTCGTATATTTCTTTGTTTATTTTAATTTCTTCCAAGAGGTTTATGGGTCAGGGTGGGCACCTAATGTTGCGTCATTCTATAGTTGGAACTTGGGCATAAAACAAAAAAGGTAAAAAGCCGACAGTGTTTGCTCTTTGTATTGTTATTTCACATCTGTCTGTCTAATTATGCATTTTCAATTGATCTCTCAGATAAGCATCCATTAAATAAATTAAATGAAAAGTATAAACAATTTAAATTTAATTTAATTTTAATATAACAATAACTTTCCTACTATATTACTACAGCCATTTGTCTTCTATTGCTCCATTATTGTATAGGCTACTTATATTTCGTGCTCTTTGTTTGTATCAAAGTTATATCACAGTTTTTGTAACTATTGGAACAAACTAAGGTGATCAAGCATCAATAAGGCTCTCTTATTCCTTTTTAAAATAATGTATAACCTCCAGTGAACGAAAAACGAAGCCCAATGCAGGTCAGAAACATGATCCAAGAACACTAACTCAATTGAAAACATGAGTAACAAGACAAGCACACAGTATTATGACAAATATGCTGACAGCTGTCAATCAATCAATCAATCAATCAATCAATCAAAGCTGACACTCTCAATCAGCCAGTTTAACGCCGACTAAAACAATCCATCACACAACAAATAAACTGAATAAAAGTGCACAAACAGCCCACAGATATCTATAATCAAATGTTTTTCATGTTTAATATCCATATGTGGGAATAAAAACCTAAATCACACGATTGATAGCACATGCGCTATGCTAATTTTTCCTTTACATAATTCAGAAAGGTATATTTAATGACATTCAACAAATATTTACAATATTTAAGATTTATTTCGTAGACATACAACTTAAATATATAATTTCTGCAGATGCATATCAGTGCCACAAACATTTGCATAATAGACATAATGCCAACATCTAAAAATGTGCCCGAACTGCATTACATTGCTTTAATAAACCAAGAGCTTACCTCTAATATGACTTTTGACAGAAAAAACTCGGTAAATTAACGTTCATTAAACTCCAGCTGGACTGATTTGGGAATTATCGGGGGGTAATGACAGCAGTCGAGCTGTTTGTCGGTTAAAATGTTCAAAAAAGTAATGTAAAGGAGTGAGCAGGAGATCCCAGCTGTCTGAGTGCACTGACAGATCTCCAGAACCGCTCAGCCTACAAAGCCTGTGGGGTGACGTCACAGAGATCGTAGTGTTGGGTTATGGGTAATGTAGTCCTGGTTGTTAATCGTGGACTTTTAACTTTTGTCCCCTTATTTTTAGAATAACTGTAGAATTTTTCTAATTAAATGTTGTTAGTTAACCACATGAATAATATGAAGTATAGCATGCTATGATACTTAGTGACTTAATTAGTTCTTTCTTTTTTTTAAAAAAAAGTGCAGAATAATATATATAATAGAATACAATAAAATATGTCAGACTATAGTAAAACAAACACAATGGGTTTGAATAGAAAATTCAGGAAATTAAAATAGTAGACTATGTAATAGAATAGGATGTAGCATATAACAGACTGTGGCATAATGATGACTGAACTGAACAAAACAGAATGCAAAAAGACAGAATAGAATAGAATAGAACTGACTATAGCACACTGACTATTAAACTGAATATAACATATTGCATAGAATAGGATGCAATAGATTAGAATATATAAACATTAGAACAAACAGGTGTATACATAGTACTGAACAAAATAGAATATAATAGTGAAGTACTGAATATAATAGAATAGAACAGAATAAAATAGAATAGAATAGAATTGAATAGAATAGAGAAGTACTGAATAGAATAGAATAGAATAGAATAGAATAGAATAGAATAGAATAGAATAGAATAGAGAAGTACTGAATAGAATAGAATAGAATA